TGTAAAATAAAATGTATATTTACATCCATTTTTACATCCCTTGCAGGTGGGACCCACCCGAGAAAAGAGAAGAAAAATGAAAAAAAGTCAACATAAAAGGCTGGGACTCACGGCTACACCCCCGAATTTACACCCCCTCACTGGAGCAAAAAACATATTTACACCCCCCGGAGGTGTAAAGGGGATGTAAAAGTGGCTTTACAACCCCAAATTTACACCCCCCCACTGTGGATGCTCTTACTATAATAGAAGGCAAACATTTAATTTATACCTTTTAAATTCAGAAAGAATTTAGTCAATAAGTATTTTTTAAGAAACGACGACGAAATGAGTAATAAAAAAACCTTCATAACCTTCTCATTTTCCTCGATATATCTCGATTCTCCAATGTAGCGGAACATTGGCCTAAAAAACAAGGCATCCCTATAATTCCAAATGACTATTAATTTTGTAAGAATCATTCTTTGCATATGCAAAGCAAGTTTCACCAAATTTCAGCATATGTAAAGCAATGCTGGCCAGAACAAATTTCCATACAATTTTGACAGACATATCAGGAAATTTGATGGAATTGGGGGTTCGAATAAGTTCCATCTTGACAACTAAAGCAATCTATCCAAAATCCTGAAGTAAGGAAAATGAGAAAATAAGTTTCTGAGTCACAAAACAGTGCAGCTTTTAGTGCTGCACTATCTATTTTTCTTCATGCAGTTGCCAAATAAAAATGCGATAATAAACAAAGATAGAAGGATTAACCAGTACTTACTGAAGAGAAGCTTGTCAAGGCTCTCATTTGCGACATACTCATACACAAGTAGTTTCTCCACCCCATGTGCACAATAGCCCAACAAATTCACCACATTGCGGTGCTGCACACGAGCTAACAACTTGGCCTCGTTCATAAACTCTTTCTTTCCTTGATTTGAACTTTGTGACAACTTCTTCACCGCAATCTCTCTCCCATCCTCCAACTTCCCCTGAGAAAAAAAAAAGCACCACACAAGTTGGAATTCACATCAATTGTCCCGTTTGGTCAAGAAGAAACTGAAAAGGCTGCCCATTGGGCATTTAAAGGCCTTTTAATCAGGGAGAGAAACCAGAAGCTTATAATTTAGAACCTTACAAAACACTACACTGGGTGAGTCATATGTGACTCACCTTTGATGTAG